GGGGGTAGACAAGGGGGTGTACAGAAAGGTTGAATCAAGTACATGGGCGAGCCCTATGGTCACGGTGGTAAAGGAATCAGGAGACCTTAGGCTGTGTGGGGACTACAAAGTCACTGTAAACCAGTTCCTGGAAGCAGATCCCTACCCACTACCTTCAATTGAAGAGTTGCTGTCAACAATTGGCCCAGCCAAATATTTTTCAAAAATTGATCTTGCTAACGCTTTTCAACAGCTGAAGTTGAGTGATGGATCAAAGGAACTTTTGACAGTCAATACACCTATTGGCCTACTTCAGTATGAGAGAATGCCTTTCGGAATCAAAACAGCTCCACAAATCTTTCAACGTGCGATGGATGAAATTCTAAACGGGATCAAAGGAGTTGTATGTTATATTGACAATATCCTTATTTCTTCTACAGATAAAGAACGGCAGTACCAAATCCTTGCAGAGGTACTCAAGAGGCTAGAGGAGTACAATGTACATGCACGCATCACAAAATGCAGCTTCATACAGGAGAGTGTGGAGTACCTTGGTCACTACATTGATGCCAAAGGCATTCATCCTCTGAAGGAAAAGGTTGATGCCCTCAGAAATTTACCCGTACCTGAAAATGTGCCTGAGCTTCGAGCCTACCTGGGTATGGTGAACTACTATGGAAAGTACATCAGACACCTAGCCTCATTGACGGAGCCCCTAAATCGTCTTCTAAAGAAGGATGTGGAATGGATTTGGGACCAGGAATGTCAGGATGCTTTCGATCAGAAACAGATATCTGGGGAGAGCTGCCTGGTGCCTTATGACCCCAAAAAGCCATTTAAAGCCATTTAAAGCCATTTATGGCCTGAGCATAACCCTGATGAAAGTCTTACCCCGTACTTCAGGCAAAGACATGAATTAACTACTGAGGATGGTTGCCTCTTGTGTGGTTTACGGGTAGAATGAAGTCACTGGCTAGATGTTACCTGTGGTGGCCTGGTCTAGATCATGAAATTGAGGAGTTAGTACAAGATTGTGACATTTGCCAGTCTACAAGATGCCTACCGGCAGAAGCACCATTTATTTATTGTGTTGTTTACATTTTAGTTAACATTTGTTTAATCCCCTTTTTCAGGGGGGAGTAATGTAGTACATTGCGCCGTGTTGTGTTACTGGGTTCCCTGTTTCAGGGATTGGCGCATTCGCTTTTAGGATTGATTAAATGGAGTTTGAGCACATGGCTGTTGGGTTTAGTCTGTCTTATATACACCACAGTCTGGAAACTGAAAGCCTTGGAAAGTATCATAAAGTTGCAAAACAAATTGAGTATGGACGAAATAATGAAGATGTTGCCCGTACTCACTACAAAAAGCTTATGTCACAAACCCATGTCAATTTTAATCTGGTTGATAATAGCCTCCAGATATCAGAGCGTGATCATTTTATAGCTGCAAGCCCAGACAATCTGAAAGCATGCAAGTGTTGTGGCGAGGCAATTGTAGAGTATAAGTGTCCCTATTCTAATAGACACTTGCACCCTAGAGAAGCATTTCTAGATAAAACAATTGGTGGAAAACAAAAACGTAATGGAACATATTATCTGGATCCAAATCAAAGATATTATTTTCAAGTACAAGGTGCTAAGGCGACAATGGAGTATGATTCTTGTGACTTTGTCATCTATACCGAAAATTCAATTAACAACTGTGATGGGAGTATATTTGTTGTGCAAGTTCCTTTTTCAAAGAGTTTTTGGGAGGAAGTCAGACAAACAGTCAGGCAATTTTATTTGACATGGATGTTGCCCATTATATTTCAAGAAGTGATTGACGAAACAGGTAAGGTTGGTAAGGTGTGTATATATGAATCAGGTTTCTTAAGCCTAAATACAAGAGTTCATATTGTCATAATACAAAAATAAAGAAAAAACATTGTTGTCATTATTTAAAACAATATAAATGTATGAAATATTGCTAATAGCAATTAATTTTAACAAGCAGCTTTTATTTATTTATTTGATCACTGGCAAAGTTCTTGCAATTAGGTATATACAACATGGCTGAATAATGAAAAAAAAAGGACATTATGAGGACAAATAAATGTTATTTTTAATATTGAATCTAAAATCATTTTAAATAGTCATTGCATTTTTCGTTCATTATAAGAATTCTGTAAAGAAGCAATGATGAAACAGTACTATAACTTCTGGGTTTTTTTCAACTAGAGTACAAACATTAAAACTGTGCAACTGCTAAATTATGCTAATTCTATTGTTTTCTATTGTTTAAATAGCACTATTTTATAGTAAAAAGTGGAAGGTAATGCAGCTGTTTGTACTCTAGCACATGACTTTGTGCAAGTTATAGTAACAATAGTGTTTCATAATTTTACAGAATGCTCTCTAAAAATTAATGTATACTTTGAAATATGCAAAACTTGATGCATTAATGATTTTTTATCAATGTTAATGTATATTGGAGTATATTGGATTTTGAGTGCACAGGTATGGCTGATGATACACAACCCACTCAGATGACAGTAGATTATGAGATGACAAAGAAGGAGTCCAAGGATATTGCTGATGATAGACAACCTGCTCAGATGATAGTAGATGATGAGATGACAAAGGAGTCCAAGCATATTGCTGATGATAAACAACCTGCTCAGATGATAGAAGATGATGATTTGCCAACTTCCAGTAATCAGTGCTCAATTGGAGATTTAAAAGGTGTCACCTAATTTCAAGATGATATTGATTCTCTAAATGCAGGTTCCTGGCTCACTGACAATATTGTAGTTTTGTTTTGTCGAATATTAAGAGAAAAGTGTAATCATAATATTTTATTCAACCGTTTGATTATACTTGACTCTATTTTCTACTTGTCTTTGTCAAGTAGCTTAGAAAAGCATTCTCTAGAAAAAGCATTTAGCAATGCTTCTCCATATTTCAAAAAGATGGATCCAAATAGTATAGTTGTAATTCCTATTTGTAGTCACGGACACTGGTAMTCCATTGTTTTTACACAGTATTGTATTTTAGTTATAGATTCATTGAGCCATCAATGTAAAAATRTATTAACTAGAAATCACCAGGTTAACTTAATCAGTAMGTTCATTTTTTGGAAATTCAATATTAGATCTGCACAGTTAAAAAGGTTTGTTTTAAAATCWCCACAACAGAATAACAGCTTTGATTGTGGAGTATATCTTTTGCTCAATTAACAGGTATTTCTAAAGCCAGACAATTTCAGGTGTTTTATTAAAGATCCTGACAATTTCTGTAGAAAAGTACTCACCAACAGGTTCCATGCAGACACAGCCAGAAGAGAAAGATTGAGAATGAAAGAATACATACTTAACAATCTATAAATTGGAATACCATTTACACCATTTAAGTTCATTTTAGAATAAAAATACTCTCACTCTGTACATGTTACTCTTGTTATAAATATTTTTTTCTTTAGGTTTTTGATTTTTTTTTCTTAAAAGTCATTGGTATAATACCACAAATGCCAAAAAAAAGGGAAATTGGGAAATATTGGGAAAAGCATATCTGAATGTCTATTCAGAAACCAAAGTGTTACCAAGATTTGCTAATGAAATGCATACTCTAACAACACTTTCCATGTAGCTCTTTTGGGTCATTTTTTGTATTCTTGTCAGTATTCGGTAAGTTTCGAGTCTTCTTATAGCTCTTTCTATGTGAATTCTTGTATTTGAAACCCTACGAGCTTTAGTGGATGCCCTTGGTTTTAATGTCTTTCCCTTAAGTTTTGGAGGAATCTGAAGCTTGCACCCCTTTAATGCCAAGTCACCACGAATGACAAATCCCTTATCTGCCATTACAACATCCCCAGGTGACAAGCATTCAATAAAACCTGATTTCTTTACTATCTCTTTGTCTGATATGCTTCCTGACCAAAGTGTGGAAGAGTAGCTGATGCAGCCATTAGGTGTACATCCAATAAGTAGTTTATAGGTGTTATCATTGTAATAAGCACTATAGAGCTGCTTCTGTGCAGCAGGCAAACTGGGAGCCTCGCATCTAAAATCTACACAATCTATAATCACTTGCACATCTTTGATTATTTCCTTTGGCTTGCCATTTTTTGTTTTCATTGATTTGGGGAGATTTTTTTTTACTTGCTTTACTGATGGAAATCTCCTTAGAAATTTCAGTTCTTTATCTAAAAACTCCAAAAAATTCCAAAATTCTAAAAAATTCCAAAATTCTAAAAATTCCAAGTGTTGTAGGCATTGCTGGCAATAGAGAGATGTGTGACAAAGAGATCTGCAATCATTCTAATGTCAGTCCCCCTTAGATTTCTGACTAAGACTAACGAAAACTCTTCCCACATCAATAAATTTCGTCATCAGGCTTTACGTCTGGATTTTTCATTGCCCCTCCACAAGTTCATTCTTTTTGCTTTTTCGTGAATGAGAGAAAAACCAAACTTTAAAAGCTAATTTGATTTAACACCAGTATAGTACATTGGCTCTCTAAGAATGTTAGCTATAAAAAGCTCACGGATCYGTGCTTTTGGGTCGTCWGTAGTGAATATCTCTTYGGTGTTTTCTTCTAAATCTCTGTCATCATTTACAGAACACTGAGACGATTGCTTTACTTCAACATCAGTCAACTKGGAATCGRTGTGTTGAAGATCCAATTCAGCATCACCAGTAGAGGTCATAACTTCACAATCTTGTGAGCCTATCAATTTTAATATTAAAATATCTTCATTTAGTAYACATTTTCACATCGTGTACAATAAMTTATCTAAACTGAAAAGGASTCTAAAGAAATGCAAATAAGCTCAAATGATTCTAACCTTAACTTACCTGGCTGGAGAATGTTTGACAAAGAAAGTAGCGCATCTATAACCTCTTGATTGTTCTCCGAGGAAGGTAGGCCTGTGAAGTCGTCATTGTTGCTTTTTATAGGCTCAGTTTTGATCATAACATCCACTYCGTCTTGTTGTTGGACTTCACTAGATACACAAAACAAGGGAAGTTTACCAGTCGCTCSTTGATTAGACTTTTCCAAACGATTTCRTTGTTCCATCKACAATGTTGCMGCTACAGGATCTGGATTGTCAGAAGTGRGACCATTTTCGCCAACGAAATGAAGAGAACATATAAAGTGGTRGTAGGTAAGCTTTGATAAGTTGAGTTGGTCTTYTGGACGTCGACATKCATGAATCCATGCCTTTGCTCTTGCAGCATTTCTCTTTTTGCCAGGGAAACGGACAAAAAATACTGGTTCTCCATAACGATTAGTCATAGTCTTTGCATTAGGCTTTCTTGAATCATTTTTACACAAACCGTGAGAGCAATATTTCACCATTTTTCAAGAGAAAACACACTGATAAACTAAAATCTCTATACAGAACTACTTCCGAACCGCGGAGAGTTGTCCTAACTTTGCTTTTAACCAATCAC